CTACATCATTATCATCGGAGTCCATGTTAAACTGCGGTGATTCTGGCTCAACGAATAGTCCAGTCTCAGTATCATCCACACCTGGCTCACGAAGAGGTTTTATGGCGGAGATGAGGGTTCCTCTGTGATACCGATATTTAGGTCTGAAAAGCTGGTAGTTGAATATTTTCCCTTGAACTTGAATGCATCGTGTCATACGGGTTTTGAACTTAGTGTTGTGTCGCAGACATCTTCACATTGAGGTCGAAGAAGCTCGCAGTTGAATGTCTCACCCTGGAACTCGAAGGCATCGTGTCAAATAAGTACTGAACATATTGTTGTGTCAAGGGCATCTCTATATTTAGGTTAAAGAAATTGGCAAATGAATGTCATCCCCTTGAACCAGAAGCGATGTTGTCATATGGATTGTTCGTGGAGCCACCTCGGTGGAGATCGTAACAAGTTGTTGATGAATGTATCCCCATTAAACTTGATGGGATAGTATCACGATGTGGATTTCCCATTAATGAGTTAAAATCATTACACATTACTTGAGTTGGGATGTTAACTTGATCAACTTATTGAGGGAAGCATAATGACATACCACGAACCGCAGACACTTCAACAAATATGGCATACATTTGTGTATTAGCGTCTGAATTTTGATTCTGAGCATCAACAATCATAGCAACATTGTCATCGTTGGAGAGTTTGAACACTATATAAGTTAATATAAAATAATGCAGTTGGAAATCTGTACTGAAGTGAGGATAGTCTTCTAGTACTTCCAACATGAATCTTCCTTGAAATTTTAGTGATCACTTTTTCAAGAGTGAAGTTTTTCTTGAACGATATTCTGACAGAATGATTTGAAGTGAACATAACGCCGGTTTCATCTTCCCAAATTTCTCTATCATAATAAACAATAGATGAAATACATCTCATTTTGAGAGTTTGAAAGATTGAGAGTCTTACATCTACAAAAATAATAGCTGAAATACACCTAATTAAGAAAATAATATAAGAATTAAAATATAAACTAATGCTAAGAAAATCATAATATTTTAAATAACACAATTTAATATTATTACTGTATCGAAAAAATGTCTCAAGATATAATATCGTCTTCCATTTTACAACCGTAAAAAATAAAAATAAAAAATAATTAGTACAATAAAGTTTTGTCAAATAATTAAATAAAAAATAATTTCACCTTCTAAAAACTATAACAAAATCTATTTAACTTGATAGAATGAAGAATGTGAAAGTAATTTTGGTGTGGTTTGATGTTTGCATTCGGATGTATTTATAAGGGAGGGGATGGGTGAATAACTAAGATTTAAGGCTCGAGTAATAATAAAGTGCATAATAATTTAAGGAGAATAATGGAAGACACGCCTCATGATACGCTCCTTCATGTACGTGTCAGATTTCCCTACGAAGGCACGCTTCATGATCCGCTCCTTCCAACGTGATGCCAGCTCGAACAAAATCTCGCGAATGCAATCCGTACCTTTTCACTATAACGTCAACTTATATAGAACCCCACGAAGATACGCTTCATGATTTGCGCTTTGTTAAAAAATGGTGATTATTGGCCTCGGAAGACCCAACAGCTTTACAGCAATAACGTCGTGTAGTTAGCCCATTGTTTGCGCACACAGATCCAATAATAGGTGGCCGCTCCCCAATCATATAACTCTGCTGCTTTCTGCCCACCTCAAATGCTTCAACTAGAAATGGATTGACAGAGTACAATGAAGTAATTATTATTTTCAAAATTTAAAATTATTATATATTTTTATCTATATTTTATTTTTTTGATAATTTTATAAATTATCGCACTTTTAAAATTTTAAAGATTCGTCATCTTTATTTTTTAACAAAAAATCTTATGTTGTTTTTTATTTTAATTATATTATAATAAAGAAAGTAATATAATATGTTCCCTAATACTTCTAAAAATATAATTAATATTGCATTATTCAATTTAAATTTGATACAATTATATAATTTTAGATGCAAACAATGAGAACAACATCGAATCTAGAAGTAGATAGGGCATACCAATTGATTCAAATGGGTAATTTGTCATTTTAGTCATTAGAAAATCATCATTGTAAGTGTTTTTTAATGGAAAATTTATGCATTTGACCATCCAAGAATTATAATTTTATTTTGCTTCCCCTAAATGAAATTCTGACTTCATCTTTGAGTATATGTAGTAGCAAGCAAATTTTGAAATATATAGAGTTAATTGCATCACATGTTCTCAAAGTATGAGCTTCATTTTAAATTGGTCCTTAAACTTTTAAATATTCTAATTTCATCCCTAAAACTATCACTATTATTCTAAATTAATCCTCAAACATTTGAACATTTTAATTCCATCCTCAACCTATGGACTTCATTCTAAATTGGTCCCCTAACTTTTTTAACATTCCAATTTCATCCCAAACTATACACATATACTAAACACATCCTTTGTTAATAAAATCGTTAGGCCAGGTTATATCAATGAATTCTTTAAAAAAATTAGAATATTCAAAATTTTAAGGACCAATTTAGAAAGAATGTCAGCGATTATGGATGAAAATAAAATATTCAAAAGTTTAAGGACCAATTTAAAACGAGGGTTATAATTTGGAGATATGATGCGATTAACTCAAACATATATTAAAATTTTAATTAAAAAATAAAATACATTATTAACTCTTTAAATATGTAAAATAAATAATTTTTACCAAAAGAGAAAAAATGTCTCATTCACTGAGCATGGCATGTACTTTATCATAGAGGAAACAAAAGGAAATAACAAAAGTAAAGATGAGATGCACACTATTTTTACAACTGTGTTCTCCACTCATGATTTGGACGTCCAGTCTTCGTTCTTTTATAAAACTATTCAATTTCAGGGACTAAATACTATTTTAACCCATTTTCAATCGTAGCTAATTGTTTCCTAAAAATAGTAACATTTGCTCAGGGGCGAACATAAGCTTATGGGACAATGCAAATTTGCTGTTCCAATCATTTAGTTGTAGGGAATGGACGAGGATTACTCATTCGTAGCTTCAAAAGTTGGACTTAACTGCTTTTAGGATATGTTAATCATTAGATTAAGTAGTTAATTGAATTCAATTATCGATATTGTTAATGCGATATATAAGAAATATGAGATTGAACAGGTAAAATGTGTAGTCTTTTAATTTAAAGGTAGATAAAGGAAGGATTTGTCTAAAATTACACTTGAAACTTAATGTCAATCGAGACTCAAACGATATTCTAGATTGACTTATTATATATTTAGTGTCAAAATGTATGTTTTCTTACTTTTTATTTTATTATAGTTACTTTATCTTTAATTTAATGTAAATTAAGTTTTAACTCGATTGATTGATTATTATTGTAATATTTTAAAGATACGAGTTCACGCATATAATCTTTTTGATGATATTTACACCATTAGCTAAAGGAATCGTTGTTGTTTCTAGAAATAACGAGTTTGAACACCAACGACTACAATAATCATTGAACGTTTATTGTTAAGCGATTAAAAGTACTTAAAACAAAAAGCTAATTTATAATCAACTCAACTTAATAATAATTATTAAAAAAAGACATTACTTTTGCGAACTTAATTATAGTCGGAAAAGAAAGGGAAAAGTAAAAGTGTGGATTATTGAAAAGTTAAGGCGTGGATGTTACAAAAGCATCGCCAACAACTCAATCATTTGCACCTTAAAACAATAATCATTCCCTAATTAATTTAATTCGAAAGGAAAAGAAACTAAGGTATTTATGTCAAAAGTGTTAACGACGTGTCACAAACAATTTTCTTTTTGAATAATATATATTTTAATAAATTTAACTTTTTTTCTTTCAATTTTAAAAACTCGTGTGACGTATATCTTTGGTCAAAATTTGTCATTTTGGAAATTAAATTCGTAGAGACACCTGAAAATAGCTGAATAAACTGCATAAATTGTATGAGCAAAACCTGAAATGAAAAGAGGGGACCCAAAGTGGGGTAAAATTGCAAAGACTTTCTCTCTTCACCATCAACATCGTCTGCCAAAAGCTTTTAGTTCTTAAATTGACTGAAATTTTTGAGTTGCCATCATGCTCACCTGAGCTCACTCATATGAGTTTTATTATTACCATAGAATTATCCAGAAATTTTTAAGATGGAGATATTCTTTTTAATAGTCTAAGTGATTATAAGATATTATTTATTTAAAATATTTTTTAGCTAACGTATATATATAAGTTGTTCGAACCTAGAATTTATAGGAATAAAAACACTTTCTTTTACCATTGGAATCACGTAATGAATTCAGATAATTAGTAAATAATGACGTTATCAAAAAATTATTAGTGTGCAGTCAATTTGAGTGTAAATTATTAAAAGAAACTTGGTTAAATTTTGTATAAAATGTTTGAGGATTTATTTTATCAATAAACTAATTTTTTATTCATATTAGTCTAAAACTAAATTTTTTAGTGATAAAATCTCGTAGTGTCGTATCATAAAATGACAGAAAATGAAAAATTATTAAGTTTTAAGACTAATATAGATAAAAGGTCAAGTTAGAAAAAATACCAAATTAAAGGATTAAAATGTGACTTTATCCCTTTCCATTGGGTTAATTAGGAGGAATATTATGAAAAATTAGGAAAATGGTGACAAACTAAAATTATTTAAGAAATTATGGTGCTTTTTACATTAATTAAATGCTTGTATCGAACATGATGAAAATAGGTGGAAAGAAAGAAGATTGGAAAGCTGCCAAATTTCCATTTCCCAACCAATTTTGGTTGTGAACAAATGAGAGAGACATTCTTACAAGCATTTAATCCCAAAATTCACAGTAAAGAGGACTCAAATGTTAAAAAACAATTAATGAGTTAATCTCCTCATTAAAAGGACATTCCTAACACTACTTAGATCCCATTATTTTGCGTTCATGCCCTTCATCTTTTTTACAAATTCAACAAAGGCATCATCATTTTCCATTTCCTTTTTGCTTTTTGGTTAGCAATAGAACTCGGCCAGCTCTTCCATGGCACCCAATTGAGCTCCATCGTTCTCGAGCATCCAAAGCAAGTGCTCGAACAAAACGACCTCGCAAGAAAGCACGACGTCACCGTCTTCACCGCCGCCGGATCGGCCGATCAGCTCTTGGAACAGAGGGTGGCGGATGATCTCCGACCTCACGAGGTATCTCCGTCGCGACTTGCCTACGTAAACCGCGTGAAGACCTGTCTGGATACTCGATTTCTCTTCGGAATCCGATGCCGCTATGGCGCTGCTGGTGCGGGTCAGTTTCGTTAGCGACGGCCATCTTTTTATTGCAGACTTAAGCTTTGTTAGCTTGCCGATTTTCGCCATATATATATTGCTTTGAAATTCAAAGTCTTTTTGAATATAAAGAGAGAAGGGGACTGTTGAAGAAGAGCAAGGAGCGTTGTGTTTGAGTTGAAGTGCAGAGAAAAATAGAGGAAGCTTCGTATATAAAAGAATGGAGCGGGACATTGATAGAGATGAATAATAGGTCAAATTCTATAAAAGGTCCCTGAATTATTTTCATCAAATAATTTGACATTTTTGTTACAATTGTTGTATTTTACGGAATTAATAAAAAAATTGATATCATAATTGGAAATACATATTTCAACATAAAAAAATAGAAATGATGAAATTACAGTAGAGGGATTAGATCTGAAAAGCATATATAGTAGAGGGAGCTATTATGGAATTTGACCGAAATAGAACTGCAAACGGGAAATACCAAATACGAGCTTAAGGCCCACTGTTTTTATATACCAGCTAAGAAGAGATATTTGGGGTGCAAAGATCAAGAGATCAGTGCCCCCTGTTTGACCAATTGGTGGGGACATTTTGTTCGAGAAAATTAAATCATTTGTTTATTTTTATTTGTTAGTAATGCCTTTTTCCTTATATTTTTCTATATAACTTAATATATTTAAAAAAAACAAATTAGGTTGGGTCTAGGGATCGTTATGAGTTGGTAATTCCATCAGAGTATAATATAATTTTACCTGTCATTCGATCCGATCTAGGATTTTAATTGAAACAAGCATATAACGGTATTATAATAATTATCTATGTACATATAAAGCTCAATTATACTATTATTTTTGAGTCAGATATTATTTACTCTAAATTTAAACCCGATTCGGGTCAAATATTAAGCCTAATTAGGTAATTATTTATTAGAGTCACTCGTCTACCATTTCTTTTAAATATAGAAAAGTTGTCCAGTGCTATTTTTCTTTCACTTATAAGATTGGAATATAAAATCTTATATTAAACTTTTTTCATCAATTGATTTAGTGGTCGTTGGTAAAATAATAAAATAGTAGGGGAAATTGTGGTTTCAATGTTGTTCATGAATGATTAAAAGCAGCAAAATCTAGCTGTTGGTTGGTAGGCAGTCACCATTTGCAAACACTAAATACCCATTTCGTTTATTTAATTGTTTGTTTTGGTTTTCCGTTTCAGAATTTGTTGTATAAAACACAAGTTTGAGCTGGTAGCACCTCATCCTCCCCCTTTTTGCGTTACAATTTCTATCAACTTTCGTCTTCCCCCCCCCCCTCATATTATATATTACGTACGTTACCAAATCAACTTTTTATGACCACTCACAATCTATACGCGCATTTTAAAAAAAAATCATAATAGTATTTATTTATAATTTTTCTTAATTATCTATAACGTACATACATTTCGTAGAAGTAGCTACTCGAACAACAAAAACCTCTTAGAAGAATAATTCGGAGGTCTCCTACGGAAGTTGCTCTCAACCTGGCGTTTGGGGCAGCCTACTATCCTACCTCCCCCTTACCCCATTACATATGGGAATAAGGGTCAGCTAATTTTTTTTTAGCTAATGTATTTGAAAAATTATTCTTATTCCCTCACCTTAATCTTAAGTCTCACATGGTAATTACGTCAAAGGAGACCATTGTTTTTTAATCTTCATAAAAGAGTATCTTAGTTGATAAATAAAGGGAATTAAATGATCGAACAATTATTTATTATAAAAGGGTAATGGGGGCTAGGGTTATGGTGCATAGACAGGCAGTTGGGTAGCTAGAAAATATTTAGGCAAACATGCAACAAAATCTCAATATTTGGATCAGTGTGGTTTAGAAGAAACATTTAGGGATCACGTGGTAGATTTCAAGGGATTTCATGTCATGTGCCAAGCTTGATATCAGCTGCTACTATTCATTGATTACCTTCATTTTTCTATTCTTAATTATAGTTACTTGTCATAATACCTCACCAGCTATTAATAACAAATGAAACATAAGATATTATTTATGGACAAATTATAGTTAAGAGATAGAGAGTCGTAATTAATGGTTTCATAGTTTCAGTGAATTGAAAAAAATGATACGAGGCGTAAAAAGGAATAAAGAGAAAAAAAATGAAAAATACAACTAGCAAAGGAGGTACATCACATATATACTCATAATTCTGACATCTATAGTGCTCAAACCCAGATAACCAAGGAATAACAACAATTCTTTATCATGAAGACCACTTGGTTCGTATATAGTTGAATGGTAAAAGTTTTCATATTTCTTGAACTAAAATTGATCAAATTAAAGTAGAAGTTAGATCCAAAACTAATGCGTGATTCAGGAATCTATAACAAAATTTGACCTAATTACGTGCACACATGCGATGAGTTAAGTGAAATCTTAATGAATCAGTTATCCATTTTGTTCTGTTGTTTCAATAAATTTTTCAATCGCCATCACAAAAGCTACTACCTTAACTCCAAAAAATTCCATCAAGTTCTTGTATATGAGAAAACCAATAAAATTATAGTTTTGTTAAAGACAATAAAACAAACTTTTCTACCTTGAACAATTCCCATCCCTCAGTTCACGATACATTTGCCCTCCAGAAGATGTTGCAAATACTGGAATGTGGAATCATTTACCGGACTTACCTTCAATTCTGACGCTGAAAAGGTGAGGATATTTGTTCATTCATCAGTCCGGTGCAAGACATGTTTAATCCATCGTAGATGGAGTGTATGAGTTCCAAGGCATTAATCCTCTGGCCCAAAATTAAACAAATGTTCACAATGTTATACCATGAGATTTCGAATAAGCGGGGTGGTTACTTTACTTAGATGACTTCTTTTTCCCGGGTTTGGACTTTTTCATACTTACAGATTCTTTCTCGGACTTCTTTTCCCGGGTTTGGACCTTTTCGTACTTACAGATTCTTTCTCAGACTTCTTTTTCCCGGATTTGGACTTTTTAGTTTTCATCGGTTCGTCCTCGGTGGGACTATCCTCATTTAGCAAATGCTCATAGTCTTCAAGACTAGCAAAGGGAGATGCTGAAGTCTCTTTACCAGACTTCCTTTTCCTTTTCCTTTGATGAAAGTCACCCTCATCATCACTAAGATCATCTGCATCTCCAAGAGCTATGACATCGTCACCATCATCATCGATCTGATCACTTCCAGCATCAGAATCGAAATCCTCTCCATCAGCAAAGTCCGAGGGTAAGTCCATCTCTTCATCACTGTCATCACCTATCAACTCATCATCATCTTCATCAGCAACATGGTCTAGATCATCATAGTCATAGTCCCCATCTGAATCAACAGAAGGATTGGTTGTGTCCAACAAATTCTCGATCTCTTCGTTGTCACTTTCATCACCACCATCCATATAATCATCATCCATTTCATTGCCACCAACATCAAACAATTCTTCAGCGGCTTCTTCCTCTGCAGCTTTCTTCTTCTTCTTCTTTGGTTTCTTTGAGGAATGCATTTTGTTCAAATAAAATTTGTGGAAGACGAGATCTTCTGGAGGAACATCTGTTTCCTCTAACAACAGAATCTCTTGCCCAATCAAATGGTTGTTCATATCAAGCTGAGAAAACAGAAAAATAAGCAAAAAAATTGAAGCTATCGGTATGGCAGCAAGGACTGAAACATCAAAGCAAAAGGACTTTGAATCAGAAGATAACTAACCTTTTTGGCAGGCTCAATTTGGGATCCACCATGCCATGAGCTTGCTTTTGGTTTCTTTTCCATGAACTTGTCTAGAAAGGCAGTAAGTGATAGGTCATTCAATGGGTTTCCATTGTAAATAATATTGACTCCGGATAGAAGAGTTGAAGCCATGGTGGCAACCGAAGGGTGAACATGTGTCGAAAGTACCATCAGCTCCCACCAGCTTGCACGATCAGCATTGCTGTAGAGATAAGACATACACAGTCACTGAATAAAATCATTATTGAAAACCCCAACAAGATCAAAGATAAAATTCTGGTTCAATTGGATATGAACGAGTGTTAATAAGAAAAAATCCCAAAGACCATGAAAGTTTTTTGCAGTTCCTCTCTTAACCGACACAGAGAAAAACTCTAGCTTTCTTAATAATCAGAATGATAATGATGCCGATTTATATAAAGACAACTTAGTCATGCATGCTCAGATATATGCTGAAACATACCAATAAGATGGTTCCCTGTGCCTGGGATCGTATCCTCCAGGCAAGAAAGATTTGGTAGTGGATTTTGGTGGTTTTGATGAGTTTCGATCGGATATTGCCTTGGGTTCCTGTACACGGAGATCCTTCGGAGTCTCTCTTATAATCAACTCATCTGCATCTTCCGAAACATCGTCATCAGAATAAGACGGCAAAACATCTTCATCTTCTGAAGAATCACTATTGGCAGCTTCACCAACATGGATATCAGCGTTATTTTCTTCTTTCTTTGATGCCAAGTTAGGTTCAGCAACAGTTTCCTCTACAATATCTTCAAAATGTTCAAGATCTTCATCAACCGACTCATTCTGGATCATCGAATTCCTGAACAAGAGAAAAGCTTTCTGGTCAGAAGAGAAAAAACTTTTACGCGTAACAAAATTAGGTGCATGACACATCTAAATGAAACAAGTGTCATTTACCATAATTGTGGCCTTGCTTTGAGGACTTCTGATATAAGAAAAAGGAAGCCACAGGCATACTGGGGAGGTTGTTGAAGTGCAACCTGTCAGATGTTCGAATTGTTAAATGTTAAAGATAGTACAGAAACCGAAAACTACAGAAATCAGACAACACCAGTTCACTTGAGGAACCAAAAGAAACTGTTAAAGTTTGTAGATATACACCTACTTAGAGTGAGTGCAGTGCCTACCTGCAATATACGTTTTGAAAAGGCAGACACGCGTTTCAAATTGACATCGCTTTTCATGGCTCTCAAAAGAAGTCCAATAAACATTTCAGCCTGAAACAATATGCCATGTGAATTTAGGGTAATATTTTTTGAAGAAATAGAATCCACAAACATATGCATGCTAACATACTACTAAGCGAATTGAGATGCTGTCCTTGAGCAATAATCAGAAACAAACTTTGCAATCATGTTCAACACAATTACAAAATGCCAGAAGCATTAGATCAC